CTCGGTGGTGTTCCGGCGAGGATGAAACGTGCGTGCATTAGCAGTCAAATACTTGGCAACTTTCCGCTTTCTGTTCCTGTTGCTCCAGTCTTCCTACTGCTGCAAATTAAACGTAACTGCGCTAAAGACACGTACGTTTTGCCGACCAGGTGTGTCTGGGGGCAGCGGCGGAGAAGGGGCGTGGCAGCCTAATTGCGCCAAAAAGCCAGTTAATAATGGTAGCAAAACGCAAACAACAAACGAACAATGGCTGGTGAATGAAATTGAATTTGAGCGGGATTACATTTTTTGGTCTTCAATTAGCCAAGTGCATTCGTTTTGCACCACGAAAAAGCGGATGAAGTAGAAAATTTGTTAACTACTGGTTATACTTGGTTTACACATACACAAATTTACGCATATCTATTTTCATTTTTTATTTTAAGTGTATCAAAATGTAAAGCATTTAATTTAATCATCAAAGAAATTCACAATCTTTTAAATTAAAATGTCGTTAGTATATTATTGTTAATAATTTGATGTTTTAGGCTGTATTTTTTGAATCCCTAAAATTGGACCGCAGCTGCATACGGAGATTTGACCGTTATATATTTCCACATATCCTATTAAATTACATTTAATTCCGTTTGGCAACCGCTAATTAGATGCTTTACAACTTGCTTGGTATCCTGTTTTGTTGGTCGGCGGAATGAGACTAAGAGTAAGTGAGAAAGGGAGAGGCGTGAGGAGGCGAGAGCTAATTAAGCGTGAATTTATGCAAACGCATGTTGTGCATACGCCTCGTTTGCCAAACTAGCAACTCACGCACACACTCAAACGCTCGCTCTTATATTATTCATGCTGCCCAATTATGCACAGCCCACAAAAGTAGGCAACATATTTTTTACTCCCTCCTTTCGTTCCTCCGCATTTTTAATTTAATTCCACCCAGCCCCCTTTTTGCTGCCCAGAGGCTGACCAACTGTTTTTGCCATTAAGCTTTATTTATGAGCCTGCTGCCAGCCATTTCCATACATATAAATCTGTTTGTGTGGGCGGACACCGAAAAATTTGATAAAAATTAGCCTCAACGCCTAATTGCGCACATAATTGCAGTGGAGCGTGTGCATTGTTTATGGCTAATGGGAAAAAAAATTGAATGATTTGCTGGCTTGTAATATGGAATTAAATTGACAAAATTAAATTGCGAGTGGAGCATGCAAATATAACGAGTCCCTAGAGCACACGTATGTTTATCTGTTTTTTTTCTGTGGCAGCCACTTGAACAAATCAAATAAGCACGCATTTCACTTGTGGCACGTAAAGGGAATTTGAGTGAAGGAACGTGAGCATAGCCAGGAAATTAAGTAAATGAGGTGGGAGAGACAGACACGTAGAAAAGGAGAGTGAAACAAGAAAGGAAAGCTAACTTCGGGCGGAGCCGAAGTTGATATACCCTTGCAGAATACTCTGTAAATTATATTCTCCAAAATTATTCATATGATGCATTCTTAATACTCATAAAAAATCCGAACTTCCTAACTTTAACAACAACAAAGTTATGGCATTTCCAATCGTTCAGTTATATGGCAGCTATAGGATATAGTCGGCCGATCCTTATGAAATTTGATAGGTCGGATTGATTGGCCAAAAATAAAATCCATAGAAAATCCCAACTTCCTAACTTTACAAACACCAAAGTTATGGCATTTCCGATCAATCAGTTATATGGCAGCTATAGGATATAGTCGGCCGATCCTTATGAAATTTGGTAGGTCGTATTGATTGGCCAAAAATAAAATCCATAGAAAATCCCAACTTCCTAACTTAACAAACACCAAAGTTATGGCATTTCCTATCAATCAGTTATATGGCAGCTATAGGATATAGTCGGCCGATCCTTATGAAATTTGGTGGGTCGGATTGATTGGCCAAATATAAAACCCATAGAAAATCCCAACTTTCTAACTTTACAAACACCAAAGTTATGGCATTTCCGATCAATCAGTTATATGGCAGCTATAGGATATAGTCGGCTGATCCTTATGAAATTTGGTATGTCGGATTGATTGGCCAAATATAAAACCCATAGAAAATCCCAACTTTCTAACTTTACAAACACCAAAGTTATGGCATTTCCGATCAATCAGTTATATGGCGGCTATAGGATATAGTCGGCCGATCCTTATGAAATTTGGTAGGTCGGATTGATTGGCCAAATATAAAACCCATAGAAAATCCCAACTTTCTAACTTTACAAACACCAAAGTTATGGCATTTCCGATCAATCAGTTATATGGCAGCTATAGGATATAGTCGGCCGATCCTTATGAAATTTGGTATGTCGGATTGATTGGCCAAATATAAAACCCATAGAAAATTCCAACTTCCTAACTTTACAAACACGAAAGTTATGGCATTTCCGATCAATCAGTTATATGGCAGCTATAGGATATAGTCGGCCGATCCCGGCCGTTCCGACTTATATACTGCGTGCAAAGGAAAGAAGGGTGTGTGCAAAGTTTCAATCCGATAGCTTTAAAACTGAGAGACTAGTTTGCGTAGAAACAGACAGACGGACAGACGGACAGACGGACAGACGGACAGACGGACAGACGGACAGACGGACAGACGGACAGACGGACAGACGGACATGGCTATATCAACTCAGGAGGTGATCCTGATCAAGAATATATATACTTTATAGGGTCGGAGATGTCTCCTTCACTGCGTTGCACACTTTTGACCAAAATTATAATACCCTCTGCAAGGGTATAAAAAGATACCCAAGAATGATGGACAGGAAATTCAGAAGGAAATCCCCTTACCCATTTGATATCCTCCCAAATAATAACCTTGACCCATTATCCAAAGTTTGGCCAAAAACTTTCGTTCAGCAGCTGGCCATCCTCCAATAATAAAAGGTAATAAGAAAATTACGCCATAAAATAATGAATATTCCGAGAGCTCGAAAGTTCGATTAAGGTTCCAGCGGGTAACCTCGAAAGTACTAAAAACTAAGGCTAAATGCATTTGTACAACATTGTTGGGTAATAAAGTCAACATAATTACAACAAAGTGGCGAGGTGGTGGCGCTTAGGTAACGAGCAACTTTTGTGCTCTGCTTTTGTTTTCTTAATGAGTTGCGGCATCGGAACAGCAACAACATTAGCAACAAGCTGCAAACAACAATTTCATAAACTTGGCTAAAAAGCATTTAAGCCCAAGACAAGACAAAGTCGGACGAGCGTAAGGTGGAGGGCCATTCAGACTGTACTGCATATGTTACAAAACGCCATCACGTTAACGTTGCTACAGAGAAAACTATATCTTTTTGAAATATCAAAACTATATGTTACTCCATAAATTGTAAAAGAGAAATAATTTAAATTAATAGAATTGTCAATAATTCGGAGTTCAATTTTTAATTGATTTTATTTATACAAATCTATAATTTTGTTGTTATTCAGTTAATAAATTCATCACTCAAACAATTTTGCTGCTGTCTGGGAACTCAAATGTATCAATTCAAGTGCTTTTAAAATTACAAAACAGAAGGAATTTGTATTGTAATTTCAGGGATATAATTTCAAAATTCAAATTTAACGTTTGCAGTGCAGAGTTACGATACGGGAATCCGGGGGCAAGATGAAAGGAAGCAGCAACAGCAGCAGCACCAATGGCAACAATGGGAGAACAAACGACGCGTCGGATAACGGAAACGGAAGTTGCTTACAAGCGTAGTAAGACTCTTAGAGCGACAGAGAGGCCCGAGGAAGGAGCGCAGAGCACACAAAAGAGGGAGATAGGATCATGTGTCTCAATGACTTAAGCTTTAAAATGTGCTGCATACTTTATGGCGTCTTTGATCTTTCTCAGAAATTTTGCATGGAAACCATCTTTGTGACAAAGGCAAAAACCGGAAAGCATAGAAAAGGCAAATGATGCTTATTGAAAATGCTCTTTTCCGTTCACGAAATGGTATAGGCTCGATACCGTAAAGTTTACATCATCTATAAATTATTATGAGCCCCATATAGCGTGCCAATTTTTCAACCAACATTCATATCCACAAAAATATTCCCACAACTTGATATCTGTGGGCAGTTGGCAAAAAGTTTCCTGCCACACTTTTCAGCCCAATCAACTGTAAGCCATATTTTAATGGTATTCCCATGTGCGACTGTGTTTATTTATTTGCCGCAGTACCGAGCAAACTCTTAAATAGTCTGGTGGAAAAAAATTCTTACCAAATGTATTTGTTATTATCATTGCAATGTTCAGTTGACGCTGCCATGCCGTATAAAAAATTCCGTTGGTGTTTGTTTATTTTGCGGGCATCCCTGTGTGTCTGCATTTAATTAAGTTTTGTCGGGTTTTAAGTGTGTCTGATTCCTCTGTGCACGATTACGCTGATAACTTTCATTTAATAAAAAACATTTTGTTATGGCATAAATATTTTTTCTGGATTGCTCGTGTTTTGCATAAAATATTTATGGCATTAAATTGAGCGTTAGCAAATTTTTTTAAATGCGATTTTTGAGCTCTTCGTGAAGCCTGGGATTTATCGCTTGATAAACCGTTTTCACGTTTATGCACAAAAGAATTTTAAATATGTGCATCAGAAAATATTTTTGGTGGAGCAGAACTGATTATGAAATATGAGAAAATAGTTTTATAATGCAGTTATACGAAAGAAGAGAATTTTAATGGGCTTTTGAGTAGGCAGAAATATTTAAAATTATTTGTTAAATATATGCCGTATATTAAATCTCTATTATCGTTTGAGATTTTAGCTTTGACCAACAAGGCTCTTATTTTGTGATTTTCACTTTTGAAAATTTTGTTTAAACTAAACTTAAATATCATGAATAACATCTTCACTTTAAAATAAGAATATTTTCTGGAAAGGGAATGCCTTGGATTTTCAGCATATAAAATTCCGAAAACTAAAACAAGTTTAAATGTTTTAGCTCTTAGCCCCGATTTCATTGATCTTCTGATTACAGTCAAACACTTTATTTCCCTAGAGTTCCAAGTAGTGCTTTATTGGTTCTAGTAATATATCCTAAAATATCCATTTGTTGCTTTCGTGTGTCAAATAATTCAAAATAAGGTTAACAATGCTTTATATATATGATTAAATAATTGGTTAAATATGGGGATAAAATATGTTTGATAAATATGGGAAGGATTTTCATCCGATCCGTGTTATAGTTTCATTTTCAGCTCCTCCAACATGCGGTAGACCTTGACGAACTTCTTCTCCACCACCTCTGTGAAGGCCTTGATCTCATTCCGCACCACCGATAGCTCCATGGCAGCCTCCGATCCACCAGACTCACACTTCTTGGACTGCTTATCGCTCTCATACCAACAGGCAATGCCATCCACATAATCGTCCACCAGTTCGGGAGCTGTTATATCCTCCATGAAGGAAATATCCCTGCGTTTCACAAACGAACTCATTAGCAGTTGCAGGAAATCGCAGTTCCAGTTGTTCTGCTGAAAGTAGAAATACTGAAGCGCCTTCAAGCTGTCGAAGATTGTGATCTTCAGAGAATATATGGAGTTTGCTGATATGTCAAGCATTTGCAGATGAGTCTGTTTCTTGAACAATCCCTCTGGTAACTCGTGGGCACTGGTTGCAGAAAGATTCAGTCGCAACAGAGAGGTGAATCTACGCAAAGGATTTCCCTGAAGATTTCCCAATGGATTTTGAGACAAATCCAAAACGCTCACATTTGCTGAAAGTGGAATGTGCGGCATTTCCCTTAGCGAATTATTATGCAAATCCAGTTCATGAACCACACCGTAAACAGTTAATCTCCTCAAATCGCAACTATGAGCTATAGCCACATCCAGCAAAGTGAAGTTAAGTGTTAGCTCCTGTAGGATATTTCCAGAAATATCCAGCTGAGTCAAAACTGGCTGCAGCTTCAACAGTTCCGATTCGAAGGCGGTAAACCGATTCCGGGCCAGATTTATTTTGGTGAGGTTTAAATTCCGGTCGAACACTCCTCTTGGTAGAGCCTCCAATCGATTTCCAGCTAGATTAAGATCCATTAACTTCCGCATACCACTAAAAACTCCTAGAGCGAGCTGCTCCAATTGATTTTCGGCCAGTGAAAGTTCCTTAACTTCCTTCAGGGCATGGAAACTATGATTTCCCAACTGCTTCAACTGATTCCCCTGAAGATGCAAGGTGGCCAGATTGTCGGCACCCAGGAATATATTTTTGGGTATCTCCTTTAGGTGATTATGTCCCAAGAACAAACTCATCAGATTGCTGGCACCCTCGAACTGCGGTTTCTCGAATGTTTCCAGCGAACAATTCTCCATGCGCAGTACTTGAAGATCCGGAAAGGTGTCGAACAACAGATGCGGTATCTTGGCAATGCTCGAGTTCAAAAAGGTGAGCATTGTGGTGCCCGTGATGGGTGCCTGCGACAAGATAACATAATCACTGCGACCGATCACTACATTCGTGCAAATTCCCGCACTGCAATGATCCTGCAGCCAAAGGCGGCGCAATTGACCGCTGCCGGGGGGCGTGGCCAGTCGGTAGCTGGGCGGCAAGACCAGCAAGAGTAGCCACCAAAGTACCGCCATGATATACGGATTTCGCGACCCGATTTCAGGACTCCCGAGTGACACGATCCTGTACCTCGGGAGCCGCCAACGAAGCGCTCGCCACGGCGCAACTGGCTCAACTGTTATGACCAACCGATCCAACCATCCACCGATCCGGAGATCTGAATTCCAAAATCTGATGTTCTATGGCGACCCCAAATGCGGATGCGGGTGCTTCAATTCAAACGGATCAGCAGAGCACAAATATAGCAACGCAACGTTGAAGGGGTCGCATGGCAGTTGTTTTTCATTTAATTCAATTAAACCCCTGCCTGGTTTCTATTCCAAAATATTTCATGCTGAACTTTCAATTTCGTTCTCGTGCGACAAACTATTTGACTATATATTAGTGTATACTCGTTTTTCTGCACTCTTGTTTTATTGCATTTTATTATTTGGGTTTCGGAGCTGCTCTTTGTATCTGGGTTGACCACGTCTGACTGATGAAAATGAATGTTTTTTAAAGTAGGAAATGGAAAACAAAAAAGAGAGACAATGCACCATTATTAGCAATATATGAAGGAAAAAATGTATATTTTTACACCTCAAATAAGTTTAAGTTTGTGCTATTCTTTTACTAACGTAATACAAATTTGTTCAGTTATTATTATAATGATTAAAGCTATTCTTCATCTACATCTAATATATATTTAATCTTTTCGCGCAGAAAGAGTTTTTGAGTGGAATACGTGACCCATAATACCAGTTTGTTAAAAAGTAATTGTAATATATCACAACTTACAAGAAAAGGGTTCAATCTGCCCTTCTAACAGATTTCGCGTTGCTAAACCGCACCCAATGACTAATGGCGAAGATCCACAGATTAAGCGAACTAGTTTAGCACGCTGACCCCCTTAAACTGGGCCGTTAAAATTGATTACCAACGATGGGCCAGCAAGTTGACTGAACTTGGCCATTACCAAGAACCTTTCTACAGATCTTATCTAAGTCAAAGAATTTGGTATAAAAGAGGCTGGTAGAAATGGAAAAATCAACAGTCCACTAACATGAATCGCAGAGTGCAAATATTGGGTGAGAAAAGAACTATTAGTATCAATCCTGAAAGGAATACTAACTAAATATAAATACTTTTATTTTCAGTGATCTTGGGCCTGATTTGCGGCAGCCAGTCGCGTGTTCCCAACCTTCGTCGGGTTGTTGGATCCGGTCGCAGTGGATTAGATGTGGATGTGGATGAACCGATTGGCCCTCAAATTCTGATCTATTCACCTGGAGATGCTATGGCTAGATCCGATGACCAGGAGCCCACCTTTCATGAGCCACAGATCAGGGAGGAAGTAGCGGAACCCGAACTTGATAAGGACAGTCGTAAAGTGCCCGACTACCTCTACTCGAACTCCATTCCCATGGTCAGCGATCAGAATGGGAAGTACGTGGTTCCCCAGGTGGCTGCCTATCCCGTGGCCTATGGTCCCCAATTAATCAACAACAAGAATGGAATCATCCAAGGCCCAGGAAATGCTCTTTCCTATGTAGTAGTGCCACGTGTCCAATTGGGTTTTAATGTCCAAGGTCAGTCGGGTTTCAATTGGCCTGGGCTCAACCTGCTGCCCACAAATCTTGGTAGTGAATCGGCCGCCGAGAAGGAGGAGCCTCTGCCACCCACTGCCTACATTCCCATTCCTGTGCCTGGTCCTCCGGGTCCACCCGGTCCACCAGGACCACCTGGACCACGTGGACTTGCTGGACCCGCTGGTCCCCGAGGACCTCGAGGTCCTGCCGGTGAATCGGGAAGTATTTCAGCTCAGAAGCCCCAGACCATTTGGTACACCCAAACAGGCAGCAGTAACAATAAGCCCCAGTACAACACACCCTTTTCCGGAGGTTATCAAAGTTAAATGAATAAATAAATGTATTAAATCAAATGACAGCCCGAATAGTATTTTTTAATTAAGAGAATCGAAAACCTGCAGACCGAGAATATATTCGTGGGTAAAAAATATTGAGCACAAAACAAATAACTAAGCTAATTTGGAGTAAACAATTTTTTTTTAGAAAAAAAACCTGAATACAAATTTGACCTAAAAGTCATAACTTAATTATTCATGATTGACTTTCTTGATAAATAAATACAATTTTGTATAGATCTACTTCATTTTAAATGCTCTTAATTCATTAACCATAATAAATAAGATTAATTCTTTGTCCCCTTTTTTGTTTAACATATTAGCCCACAGTTATTAAAGTTAAAGTTAAGTAAGTAATTAATAATTTTTACAGGATGTGGTCTGCTATCATATCTGTCGTTCGTGTGGTCTAATCGCATATATCCCATTTTGTTTTACTTTATTCTCCATCATGACATCCTCTAATCTCTGATTACAGTATAGGCGGCCATATAGTATCCATGTGGCTAGTACACTTGTACTTCGAAGAGCACGTCGCTGGTATTATCTGCTGTACTATATCTACGTATCTATTGTAACGAGTGTGTCAAACGTTGGCAATGTGGTCAGGCCATAAAAGGTCTAGCGGAATGCTCGTGTTTGGTGTCAGTTTATGGCACGCTAGCACACATGCAGACGTAAGCACAATGATGATTGTGTGTAATTTACATGGATTTTAATATCACTTGGCACCACATCTAGGGGTGGCAAATAAAGCGTTCTTTTTTTTTTGTATGTACGCTCGCCCGTTCGTTTATATTATTTGTGTTTTTCTTTTTTGTGGCCCCATTGACGGCACCTGAAACGATTGCCATCTCTGTTGCTCATTTGGTAAATGGTGCGAGGAACACCCACACCAGCTCAACCCATTTGGTTGCCATTTAGTTTTTATTGTTCTTTAGTTGTCCTATCCGAAAACCCACACATTTGCTACAATTGATACGCAGCACGCATTTGTTTCAATTAAATGAAAATGTTTTATACGTTTAGTGCTTGTCTCGTTCACAGCAGCTGCAGTTTACTGGGGACCCAAAATGATGGATGTCTTTGCAGGAAGCTTCGTTCTCGTTCCATTAATATTCCCGTCTCATAACGTTCGCCAACTTTCTTATCTGTAAATTTCAAATGAAACCCAGACAGAGCTAATGTAAAGGCAGCATGACAAACAAGATTGTGGCTGATGAAAATGGAAAGAAAAAAATTGCCAACACATGTTTGGGTGAAAATATTGCAGTCAACAGAGTGGAAGCTGAATAATATTTGAATTAAAATGTTTGTTTGTAACTTGGAGACTGGCTCATGACTTGACAACACCTGACTGATTAGTACGCTTTCTTGGGTCCACCTTCTCGTTTTCCAACGCACATACATCAAAAGGCGGACGACTCCATGCTGATTAAGTTAAAATGTTAATAAATATGATTATCGTGCTGTGCTCGTTGTTGTTGTTATTGCTTGGCTTGTTGCCATTAAAATGATTATGGCGATAAATAATAAAGTGTTGTCGAGGCGTTTTTGTGTGTCTCAGCAGGCGAAGATTCATGCCAAGATATGCAGTACTTTGATGTGCCCCAAAAATGTCTTCCATTTTTGCGTAACAAGAGAACAAGAGAAATTAAAATATTTCAGTTGCAGCCATTTTGTTTAAAAGAAAGTGTTTTATATATTTAATAAATGTACTTAAGCAAGCCAATTCTATATATACATATGTTAACTAAATAATTCAATTATTATTTATTATTTATATAAAAAAAATGCTACTGCAACATTAATTTTTAAGCACAGCTTCGAGTTTATTTATTTTCACAAAATTGAATTTAAAACCGTGTCATTTAAAAACTAAGTGAAACAAGCTGAAGTTTGTATACCCTTGCAGCTATTTCAAATATGAAATATTCCATAATACTATAATTGCGATATTACGATTTTTGCATATAAATAATAAAGCTATGTATATTTTTTCGATTTTCCCTTGGCACAGGTCCGTACCGAATTAAAAGCAATCAATAAAGTTCCATCGCTGAAAATATTAAATGCCAATAATCCAACGCCATCGAATAATCCCGCCCACTAACCAAGTTCATTAAAGAATTGCTGCAAAATATTTGTCAGGAATAGATATTGCTCGCAAACTTAAAATAGTCAAGGGAGCTGCGGGGAGAAGGCGGGAACAAATGTTGGCTGTAATTTGCAGGCCAAGTCAGCGAAATGAACACTGGCCGGAACTACGGCGTTTTGCGTGCAAACTGACAATTTAAACAAAACAGCAGAGAACAGAGAACGAGGCAGGCAGAAGGGAGATTCCAAAAAAAAAATAACTCGGCCAGAGATAATAGGATAAGGCAGGATTGGGTGGGACAGGATGAGCGGCTGCAGCGGAAGCTCCGCCATTTTCATGCCAGCTTGGGACTTGCATATTTCATGAGGCAGAAATTTATGAAGAAGCGAACAGCGCGACTCGATCGAGTTCCCCGGCAACTTACGGGGAAAACACTTATTGCGCCGAATTCCTTCTAATAATTCGCACACTCGACCATTATTTATTCATTCGCTTTGCATTTGCATCTGAAATGCGGCTCGAACAGATTAATATTTTATGGAAACCACAGAGCGGAGACACAGGACACAGCTCGAGCGGCTTAAGTGCTAATGAAACTGACTGTTAAAATATTCATTTACCAACCAAATGTTTTTTTTGTGAACTTTCGTCCGGGTTCATTAGTAGGATTTACATTTGAACTTGTACAGTCCGAAGGTTATTTACTTACACCTTTGCTGGAAATTTGCCTTTCATGTTTCGCGGGTTGCTTACCTGGAAGAAAAAAGAGGGAATGATGTAATTAGATAACGTAATATTATCGCCTTGAATCAGCTTTAAGTTCTAACAGATTTATCTGAGAGTTAAACTGTGTGGGGAAAACATTCCGTTTAGATGCAATTATACCTCGCTCTAATGACTTTTAATTAGGGCAGAGATTTGTAAGCACACACACACAATGAGACTTGGTCTTATCTGCGACCATATCCTGTTTGCCAGTTCACCCACCTCAGAGCCAGATAAAAGCCAGGTGTGGTCGTCTTTTTTTTCCTTCTTTGGTCCTTCCATTCCATTGCACAATGACCATAAAAATGGCCCAAAGCGGCGAGCCAGTTTAACTGGACTGCCTTGGCAATGTCCAAATCCTTAATTACCTTACACACACATGTAGGCACACGTACAGGGGAGGTCAAGATAATAGGGACAATGCCAGGGCTTAGAAGAATATTAAAAAAAAAGTTTGCGACTTTTCTTCTTTTAAAAATTGACAAAACTTAAACTTAAATGGTTTTAGTAAAATTAAAAGTGAAATATCTAAGTTCGTTGCCTTATGATTTGAAACGTTCTTGGAATTTTTAAAATCCACTTATTCTGACCACACCTGTGCCTGGTTAAAGCAGCTAAGCTTGGCTTTCCTGTTCGCTCTCTGTCGCTTTCATTGTTGTTGTCATTATTATTCATAACTTGGCAGACAGTCGCTTTTATTTATGTTCCCATTTGCACAATGGCCAGGACCTTTTCACTCCCCTGTCACCCCAGAACTCTCCCCTCACAGTCCACTAATAGGTGTTAATGTGTTTTATTGTTCTTGGGCAGCCAGGTGGCACACAACCTGCAGGGTCTGTCGAAACAAATGAACTTGACACTGCTGTGCAATGAGACAGAAATCTTAATGGAATTACAGATCTCGAACTTTGTGTAATCGGGTTGGGACAGTTGGCCATTGAAGGTTGGAGGGATGAAGGGTAAATTCTGTATTATTTTGCTCCTTTGGCTAATTTCCCTGCTTTTTTCGTAGCCTTTGGGCCGCAATTTGCTTTAGTGTAGACAGAAATGATTCTGACAAGTGTCAATCTGATGTTGCACACACTAAAGCTAAGCAAGTGCCAGTCTCTTACTGTCTCTCTCTATTTCTGTCCTTCTGTCTCTTTCGCACACACTATGCCCCCCGTCCACCTCCAGCCCCTTCACATGTGTTAGTGGCAAAAATGCTTTCATTACGCTTCAAGTGGAATGCCGAGTGGGCCACTTGACGTTGAACGCGACTTTGAAGCCGCTGCCGATGGTAGAGCTATAGCAAAACCTATGGCTAAAGCCGAGCTGATGCTGATGTGGCCATGAACGGGGACTGCATCCAACGTTGGAGAAAGAGGGGGGTGGAGGGGGATAGGGTCAGGGGACTGCATGGGCGAGAGGCGTCTAAAAATATGCAACACATTTGCCATACAGTATTTTCCACATACAGTCAAAATTCTCTACGTTGAGTTCTCTTTATGAAAAAAGCAATATAAAAAATTTTAAAAATAATATTACAACATTTCAAAACGTTTTTAAAAGTTTGATTATTAATATAAGAATCTATTTACCGAAATTTATTTTAATTCCTATTATGTATAAGATTTAAAAATTCCATAACATTGCAACACACTTTAGAACAATGAAGATTGGTCGATTTTTCAGCTTTATAATACAGTCGTATGGTTTTTATAAAAGTAAAACCATCATCCAAATGGCTTTAAATCTGAAGGACTAGTTTGCATAGAAACGGATAGACGGACATGTCTAGATCGACTCTAATGGTGATGCTGATTAATAATATATATACTTAATGGAGCCGTGAATGTGCCCTTCACTGCGTTGCAAACTTTTGGCTGAAATTTTAATACCCTCTGCAAGGGTATAAAATGACTAAGCAACTGAAATGTGTAAAAAGCAGGCTAAGGTCAGCGGCAAGTTCAATATACAGGCGACAGCACACAAACACACTCCAAACAAACACAAGCTCACACAGTCGCACACACTTACATAATTGCAACGTTGATTGCCATCCGTTTTATGCGCCTTTTTTCAATGTCAGTTGGCAGGCTGAACAAAATGCTTTTGTATCGTGTAAAACTTTTTGAATGCATGCCAAATCACGACGAGGACAAAGTTTTGAGGGGAGAGGGAAATGGCTTGGTAATTTTTTGGACAACACAAAGGAAAAATCGTTGCCAGATTTATAGTCAGTGTGTCAACTTGCAAATGCTGTCGTCAAGTTAATTAAAAATATATAAAAAGGAAAACTTTGAAAAGTGATTTTGCAATTGACACTCCAAGGATTATCAAAAATGCAACGTTTTAGAACAAAAGTGCAAAAGTGAATGCAATCAATTGTCAATGTCAACTAAAATGCAATTTTCATTCTCCATATTTAATTCTGCATTTGTTAGCGCCAAAAATGTGAAACTTGAACAACAATTATATTTTGAAATGATTTAGTCTTTAATGCATTTTCACTAAACACTTCCATCAGAATCCATCTAAATCAAGAAACCATTTAGCTGGGATAAACGCTAAGCGACACTTGAATGTATCGGTGGCAATTAAAACGCCAATCTATTTCCACAGACACAATCTTGATATATGAATGTGGCACTAATAACTCATATTGTCATTTGGCATGCGGGACATGTTCATAGGAGTGGGTAGACTGCAGGCCAGGTCATCAGGGCGATCAATAATTTATTGCGGCATTGGAAAGGGGTAAACATTAATTAAACACACAAAACAGAACATTGCAGGAGCGCATACAGATATTTATGCTTTCTGATGGTATTTACCGGTTCATTAATTACCGTTAAACATTTGAAAACAATATAACAAAAGTGATTTCCATGTGCTAACATCGTATAACGTATACGCAGTGTATTGCATATAGCATTTTGATCTAAATCCCCTTGCGTTTAAATTTGATAAAACAAAAAGCTTTTGTTTCCATGTATTTGAACAATATTTTCTAATTGCACCCGAACTAACAGCGGTCAAATATCAAATATCCATATTGGCCTAATCAAGCGGAAAGTGTTGATTTGATTCCTATTCGCCATCACCCTACGAACTGCAACTGTTAACGATTTGTTTGACCAACCTGGGGTGTGGGTCGGGTCCCAAATTCAATATACAAACCGGAAAATTTTTAATATTTATTCCGGGGAAATATTTACCGTGATTTCACAAACTTTTCTCCTCGCCACTTGGCTCTCCCGTTTGCCCTTGCAATACAATCGCTACACTTGATTGAGCAATGTATAAATTTACGAGTTTCGTTTTATTTTCCGCTTTCGAGGGCAATTAAAAGGACCCTAAAATCAAGTCAACTTTGACTTTTGGCCAACGTCGATTGTCCCCTGTGAGTGTGACTTCCCCAGGGCTTTTAATTAAAATCACAGCGGCCATTTGCAAGAAGTCACAGTTGGTTTTTTATTCTCCTTTTTCAATTTTTTTGTTGCGGAGAGTCTCTGGCCATTAGCAATTTTCCACTCGACTGGGGCCCAAACGCCAATTGCCGTACAGCAAAAGGGAGGAGATCATCGGGAAAAGCCAGGGCGTGTCCAAAAGGCGAAACAAAAAAGAAATCCACAACCGGACAATGGGAAAGCGCGATTCTCTAATTTTCAGCCTGCATATAAACGACAATGGATTAGAGATACTGAAGATGCCAAAAAGAATGGCTCAGCACAGCCCCATGCTGAAAGCATTTTTGGGACAAAAAGCCCAAGTTAGAGGCGTGGTTAAGCCTGGCTAAAA